AATAAAAAAAATTGCCCCCCCCCCCCCCCCGGCTTTTTTATGTTTGTGTGACAATGTAAATGCTTCCTATCTCAAAGAAGTTTGTTGAATTGGAAGGCCATCATTAGTCCTTATTTGTATTTAAATAGCACTTGGAAGTGAACAGAGGAGCTCAACACATTTTTTAAACGGTTGTTCTGTTACACTTTAGTTAAAAAAAAAAATTATTGTGTGAAAATCGGCAGATAAAATCGATTGCAGGCCCCTGAATCAAATTGAATCGAAATTGCATCATGGCATAGTTTAAGTATCAGCAAATATCAGCAAAGTCAATTGATATAGGGTCATATTGTGAGGAGAGTGGTGGTTTACACCCTACTGGGATGGCATTAGTGGGTTGCTGTAGTGGAAACATTTCATTATGTATTTTATTACACTGGTTTGGTGTAACCTACTTTGACTGTTGACAGTAAAACATTGTTTCTGAACTGTGTAATGTTTCCTGTCCACTGGGACCACCATCACTCTCTCTGTGCCATCCTTGGCATTTTGAGATGAGTATTATTTTATGTCTGCTACATCATAATGTCAAGCTCACATTCTGCTGCATTTTTAGCATTAAGAACTGCAGCGTTTGCAATTGGTTCTAAATAGATTCTATAACTTGAAAAAAGATGATCACTAACAGTGCTGATAAAAAGATTCTCATTATGGACTGTCTATCTTTAAATATCTTATTCTCCACTAACAGGCTGATCAGCTGACTGAGGAGCAGATTGCTGGTGAGTACATAACCATATTTGGTTTGTTTTAAGTTTAGCAGCTACTTAATTCACCACCAAATCTAGTCAAGTCAAGATTTTTTATTTGCCATTTATACATAAACAGACAGTCTAGGCATATAGGAATTCTTGTGCAGCTCTCCTATGGAGTCAGGTAAGGAGTCAAAGGCCAGATAGAACACTTAGTCTTAAAATAAAAAAGTTACATAAAGGCGACAAAGCGTTAAAAACCACAATACACAAAAATAGGTTAATAGTATTTTCTCCAGTGAACTTCAAACATCGCACTTAGTAATTCACATGGTGGAGTTGGATATGGCATTACGCTTGGTGAGGTAGTGAGGGGTTATAACATACTAAAACACAGTTTATATTCAGGCCTGTTTCCATTGCTTGATAGAGATATTATTAGCTATTATTATTAGCTATTATTCAGGTCCCACAAGAAAACACTGTTGATGAGATGCTCTTACAAAAATACCTCGTGGAACATTTCTGTATTATTATTGTGCATGTCTAGTAAGGGGTTATTGTACATATATTCTGCACATTTTCGTATTTGCCATCAGTCTTACTGCAGCAGGGAAAAAGCTGTTGAAGAGTCTTGTTCTGTGTGTGATGATACTGTCCGCCCTGCTGTGCCTGAGGCTGTAGGCTAAGAAAGTAAGGTGTCTTAAGAGAAAGTAGCCAGAGGTGTATGGGGATATAAGCTGGTGGTTGAGACATGGTCCTGCCCCACTAACTAATTAATTACATCCATATCGATTCTCTATATGTTAATCAGACCATAATGATGTGGGTAAAATTACACTTGGCAGGCTTTTTCAGTCACAAGTCTAAAACCTCATATGAAACACTCGCAGGTTAAAGAGCTTTTCTTTTCAGATTGTTTGAAAGCCTGAAAGTGAAGTGTCTGTGTTCACATGAATTCTCATGGCATACTAACAGTGTTATTTCTGTAAATGTACAGAATTCAAGGAGGCGTTTTCACTGTTTGACAAGGATGGTGATGGTACAATCACTACCAAGGAGCTTGGCACTGTGATGCGCTCTCTGGGACAGAACCCCACTGAGGCGGAGCTGCAGGACATGATCAATGAGGTGGATGCTGATGGTGAGGAGAAAAGGCACACATGCACAAGAAAATTATACTTGCTAGAACCTAACATTACTAGGCTATAATTTTAAGAGTCATCTTCATGTCAAAATTTCCTCTTGTTACATAAGGATTTATTGGGCAGGTTAGCCTGTACGCGCGGGTAGTATGACATTTTTATTTTCCTTATGATATACGACTGCTGTTGTCTACCAAATTACGCCTCTGTGAGACAGGCCAGAATCTTAACAAGCACCCTCAGTGAATACATCTGTGGTAACTTATGCAAAAATGCATGAAAAAAAATATCATTTGCATTTACTGCCTCATAGTTGTAGTTTCAAAATGGGCACTGGGGCAGCGGGTAAGCCTGTAACATCACTGGCATGGTAGCTCTCATCAGTGTTCTCTATTTTGTATGTAATATACTGTATGACACTTAAAGATGTGTGTGGAAAATGTAGCTTTGTAATTGACGTCTTTACAACCTCCTCGATCCTCTTGACTGAAATGGCATGATGTCATGATGCAAAAGATAATTAAGTTTTGATGAAATGTTAGACTCTGTGATAATCCTTATGGCCATGTCAGTCTGAAAGCTCTTCTACCACAATGGATCCTTATGGCCATGTCAGTCTCAAAGCTCTTCCACCACAATGTGTATATATCTTCTTGCATAAACAGATTGTTTCTCTTTCCTATTTGATTGCACATTTTCCGATTCTGACTGCGCAGCACATCGAGAGCCTGTGTACTGGAGTCATATTCATTGTGTATTTAAACATACTTGGCCAATAAATCTTGATTCTGATTATAATTACAGTTAATAGGCTGTAGTAAGTCGTATATGACATCTTTGGACCACCCAGCTCTTGCTGATAGTTGACAGTAACAAAAATTGGATTTTAATCTTGGTGAAAATCCCTCACATTTGATTACCAAAGATGTATGATTAAAGTATGTCCTGAGTGGGACATTGAACCGTTGAAAGAGCCACCCTAAACTTGTCTGTAGCCTTTGGTGGATAAACTATGTAATGGTATGTGCTTCATGTTCATGCTGCTAAACATTTTAGGTATTATAACACTGTAGTGCCTTGTTAGCTATTGGCTGGCATATACAGTACACAAATACCAATGTCTGAGAGGAGCTGAATTTTGCCAGCAGTGTCAGTAATGCTGATGTACTGGGTGGGCTCTACTGTAGACTGAATACAGTCTGTACTTGTGGACACATCTGTTTTGGTAGTTAAATAAAAGTGTTGAGTATTTCTTAATATACACTGCTCAAAAAAATAAAGGGAACACAAGACATTCAACTATGTAATGAACAAGGTATTTAATAAGAATATTTCATTCATTCAGATCTAGGATGTCTTATTGTTGTGTTCCCTTTATTTTTTTGAGCAGTATATAACACTTTACAGTGACATTGGTAACCAAAGTAACACAATGACTCCTGTTTCTGTTTGTGTGACTATGTAGGTAATGGAACAATTGACTTTCCTGAGTTCCTGACCATGATGGCTAGGAAGATGAAAGATACAGACAGTGAGGAGGAGATCAGAGAAGCCTTCAGAGTCTTTGACAAGGTATGTTAGGACTGAGTAGACTGAGAATATCAACTAGTACCTCTTGACAAAATTAGCAGCTATGCCTGCCACAGATCAGTGGTACCTAAAGAACCATGTTCAGACTTGTTCATGTAATACATTCTTCAATATTTGGAGAGTGATTTGTGTGTGATACTGATATTGTCACAAGAGAGCTTTGATTTATTTCCCTTTGATCAGCTCTTACTTGTAGGTCAATTGAAAAGCTTTTCATTGGTGTCTCTCTGCTACCTGTATGGTAGTCTTTAGCATGTTGTTTTAGCATGTAAATATTTATCAGTCAGATCTAAGTACAGGAGAGGCTAAAGAGGTAGCCAGATTGTAAATGTACCAGGCAAGTAATGAGCAGCATAAACCTTTGTTTCTGGCACCAGGAAAATCATACAGTAGCAACTATAAAGTTGTGCTGACCTGAAGCCCTTGGAACTGACTTCAGTCATACTCTGCTAATAGTTCCTTTGTATAAAATGGTAAATAAATACTATAAGAGTAGTTGTTCTGGTGCTGTCTGCAGGATGGTAATGGTTACATCAGTGCAGCGGAGCTACGGCACGTCATGACCAACTTAGGGGAGAAGCTGACTGATGAGGAGGTGGACGAAATGATCCGCGAGGCTGACATTGATGGTGACGGTCAGGTCAACTATGAAGGTGAGATGTTTGTTTGTGATCCTTGTTAGTTTGCAGATGTGACAGTGGACAGTGATAAACTACCCACAACTACAGAAGTTTCTCTTTGACTTGTTTGGACTGTCCAACATACCGTTGTTCACCTGATGCTGTTATTATCAAAGAAGTGACAACCTAATCTTTCTCAGACTATTTCTACTTTTTTTTTGTTTTGTTTTTACAGAGTTTGTCCAGATGATGACTGCCAAATGAAGAGAGCACTGAAATGTCTCTCAATGTTGCTTGTCCTCTTAAGATCACTGTCTTTAAGAACCAAAAAAAGAGCAATTATCAAATGAAAAACTAACTTCCCCCCAAATTCACTTACCTGTAGCATTTTGCAATTTGTGCTTCAGTACATCCAACTACTTCGAAGGTATCTGTTTAGCAAACACCAACAGAATAATCCTGAGAGAAGTTAATGGACCAAGCTTTTAGAGGGCCGAAGCCCCTGTACTTCAGACCAAGATTCCGCTGAGTCACCCAGCTCCTGATTAATTTATAGGGAAGAGCAACACTGAAAGGGCAGAGGGGACTAGAACCCCTGCCACGGTTTGTTAGAGAAGTTGGCTATTTTAATTCTTTCCAAATCTTCTGCAGACAATTGACTCTCTTGCACCAGTGATGATTTTCTAAATACTGAATTGAATACTCTTCTTGCATGCTCCCTTTCTGTGGCGGTCTCTTGTCGCAACAAGGAAGCTCTGATCTCTTCAGAGGTAGCAGTCAGATGGTGTACACACCGGAGGTATATACATAAATATATAGCTATATATCTGTAAAAATTAAGTGTCACTATTGATTATTGCCAGAGCAGATAGTTGAAGTGTAGGGTGTTCATTGGTGCTCAGTTTCAGATGAGCATTCTTATACCGTGAAGGTTTCGGACAAGAACGATAAACTGAGAAGCACTGAAGGGTTTTCCCTCCTGTGGGATGTTATGTTGTCTTGTTTTGAATCATGGGCTTCACCTTGCCTGGTTGGAGACAGTAATGTGTTGTATTGCTTCAGGATGATGTTTGTGAAAACACACTTGTGGGCTGCAGTTTATACATTTGTTCTGCAAGCAAATATCCTGATGATACAATATTGATGTAATGCTTTATAAATGTGTTCTCAAATATTAATGTATTTATGACAAACTTTGGTCACAAAATATATCTATATATATATTAGTGTATCGTAAAGTTTGCATTGCCTATTGATGTAGTAACTGACCTGTGACATGTTTTCTCTTTGATTTTGAAATGTGCCATAATACGCCTCAACCTTCTTGCAAGACTTGTAGTTCATTAGAATTTAATAAATCTACTTAATATAATGACATAAAAATACATGCAGCTGAACATATTTGCACTTTGGTGTAAACCACGTGTATATTAAAAAGGTTTGTTCTTAAAAAAAAAAAAAAAAAAAGAAACCAGATGTCACTGTTGCTGCTGCTACAACAACTCGTGTGTCTCATTTTTTGTCCTTGCTGGTGTCTGATCTTAAGTTTGTACCAGTGATTCAAACTTCAATCTGTTTGCCGTTTTACTCAACAGAATACATATACTGTATATTCACAATGCTACTTGTGGTGTGGGCGACGTTTCATTTGGGCTACCAGAACGGGAGATTTTCAGATGGGGATGACGTGGGTTTATAGCAAGGGATTCAGCTTTGGATTAGAGAGCGGTTTCAGTGTTGGGTTTTTGAGCAGTTAGATAAATCTAAGAGGCAGGTGAGCTGAGGATTTTTAGGATTTCTCTTGGCATGAAACGTAAGTACTTAGCTGAGGCATTTCAATTGGTTCCCTGCGATTCAGATGTTTGGAAGTAAATGGACTTAACTTTTGAAGGCATCTCAATGTAAAGATGTGATATATTTTCCATAAATTAATAAATTGACTGAGCTTTACTTCGCCTGCATTCTTGTCATGTTTTAACATGAATGTCTATTTTACACCCTGTTGTTAATGCCCCTGTTTAATTCTGCACTGTCCTGTCCTTGCTAGCGTCCATAAAGGACACTAATCTGATCCAGTCGGCCTCAGACTAGGTAAAAGCAGGTCACTGGAGAAACTATCCCAGGCACAGCTATATTTTATGCCTCATTTAATCACTTTTATTGGCCAAGTATGTTACACACATGAGGAATTTGTCTCCGGTACAGAGATTGCTACAGGATCCTGTGGTAATCCAGGTCAGTAAAGGTCATGACCTCTTGCCGCATGGTCTAAATGCAAACAGGGAGCGTTTGCCTTCTTGCTGATGGGCAACAGCCAGCGGGAGGTTTTATCTGAAGCAGGTACAGGTACAGCAGTGGTTGGGTGAGTATCCACTTGCTAAGCGTGTGGTTAAGCAGATAAGGTGAATGAACTAAGCAACGGGCACACACTCAGCAGGACAATAAGGACAAAAGCAGCACAGGCAGGTGTGATTATCCCTCTCGTGTGTAATGGCATGTTGTGCAGGCTCACTGGTGTAACTCCCACAGTAGTGTGCAAGAATGTAAATCTCACAGTGAGCCGTGCACTTGGAATATACTGTAAATAATACATGTAAGGAGTGTCAAGCACTGGGCACTAAAGTGGAGTTATCTGGGCATAGCATTGATTTTACAAAAGGGCAACAATCACATTATCTCCAGTGGTGGGAAACAAGTACATTTTCATCTGTAGCCTGCATAAGTACAGTTTTGATATAATTAATTGAACATGTTTTTGTTTTGTGCTACTTCTACTACATTTCAGAAAGACTATTGTACTTTTGACTCCACTACTTCTATTTGATCTGCATTTTCATTACAATTATACAAGTTAAACTACCTAACAGCATTTAAAACGATTAAAGTTAGCTCCACCTGAACTAGTTAATGTACCATTTCAATGTTATTACATCAATTATCATGTATCTGTAATAATAATTTCATAATAAAATAATAATAGGCAGCATTCTACATAATGGTAACTTTTACATGGACTCTTCAGGTCCATTTTGTTGCTAATCCTTATGTGTTTTCATATTTAAATGTGGCCTTAGTAAAGTGCGGGATGTTTCTCTGTAGTGGAGCTTTCAAAATGATCTATACTTGAGTTTGAAGCAGTTTGGCCTGCAGTGGTGGAAGAAGTATACAGAGCTTTTAAATAAGTAAAAAGAGCCAATAACAAGTAATGCTGCTACATGCTCAACATGTACTTTAAAAAAAAGACCCAAGGTGAGCATTATATTATTATACATTATTATTACTGATGCATTCATGTAAACTCTAAGTAGTATTTTGCTGTTGTAACTTCTATTGTGTAGCATATAACATTTTTTTTAAACTTGACCATATGTTTTGTATGTAATTAGCATCCATTGCTGTCAGTAATGGATGTTAAAGTACAATATTTCACTGATTCCTCATCAAAACTGTGGGCTACATACTTAGGCCTACAGTATGTGATTAAATATACAAAGCTGCGTTTCTCCACTGTTGGCCCCAAGATCAGTTTTTACCATGCCTCCAGTCCTCACCGTTGTCTCCAATTGAATGCCTTTTACATATTATACATTAAAAGTCAAGTTAGTCAAATTATACATATTATACAGATTGTGGCCCATAAAAACTGCCACCACAAACGTCATATAATAGAAACGGATGTTACCCAAACTTTAACACAAGGTGGTGCTCTTTCATCAAAGTCCAACTCAACTTGCAACGTCTAATTCGGGGCAAGTGCAGTGCATTAAGAGCAGTGTGACTGAGGCAGGAAAGAGATGAGATTCTAAGTGGAAACAGCTGAATGAAGAAATGATTTAGTGATGTTCTCAATTAAAGATGATTGAATGCCCCTTCTTAAAATGCAGAAAGAAGACTACAGTAAGTGTGTGTTTGTGTGTAAGAATAAGGGTGTGCGTGCATGCATGGCAAGTCATTCAAGTGTTTGCTTGGTCACACCACACCCACCACCCATAGTTGTGTACACTCTGCAGTGTAACCTAATCACCTTTTGCTTGAAAAACACAGAGTATTCCTTTCAATTCTCATCACGGCATGTGGGGAGGGGACTGTGGGGTGTTATGTAAACTGCACTGTTCAATGTAGACTCCTGAAGAATGTCACAATTTTAGAAGTAACCTATGTACAGTTCATTTAATGGCTATGCCCAATCTCTTAGCTTCCAAGAACATATCTAATTTACAACAGTCATCATCTTATGTCTCCATCCCCTGTGAACATTCACTATCACATTCTTTTTGCCATTCTTACTCACTCCCATGTAACCAACACTGTAAATACATTTGCCACATTTGCACACTGTGCCATCTTCTGGCTTGGCTGTCACAGTACCCTACACCTATCATTGTTTTGCGTTTTGGCTGGGAATATTTAAATGTCTGGAAAAGCTCTTTTGATTTGCATCTATCCTGCTGTGGTGGTGAATTAATCACTGCTTGTATTGAAACAAACAGATACAGAGGAGTTTTTAAAGCAGTGGGTGTTTCAGCAGCACGGTGCTTGTTCTCCACTTATCTCCAGCTGGATATGTGCCCAACATGTCTCATATTCCTTCAGCGAAACTTTGCTATTAAAACAATGTCTTCTACAATAGTGGCTCACACTCTTTGTGGCTCGTGGCCACATATTGTTTGTCTGTTTGCCACCTCTTGTCTGCTGTGGTGGTCTGTCTGATCAAAGAGTGATTTACTGAATACTTGGACAAATTAGAAAAAAATCTCTGAAATGGTTTTGTACAGTAGAAATATTTTTCTGCCCTCAAACACATTAATCATTTCAGTCCAGGTCTGTGAGCCAATGGGAACAGAGATGTGACATTAAGATCCCCCTATATTAGTGGTTATTTTAAAAATCAGATTTGAAAATACTAACAACTCAAAGTATTTTTTATATAATGTTTTTGTCAGGTAGAAAACTACTTCTGTTTTTTCTTGTTTTGTATTAGGCATAAAATTACAAAATAAAAAACAACAGTATTGAACGGTTATTTGGGCTTCTTCATTAATAAACAAAAAATTGCCAAAAAGTTGATCTTTAATAGCATCTTAGCTAACATTTAATGTTAGCATTAGTTTGATAGTTGTTTCCTTCTAACCTGTTTTTTCCTCACCTTGCTAATGTTAGAATGCTATGTTTGCTAATTAAAATGGCTTTATAAAAGACTAAAGATAGAGTTCTGTCTGCCCAGTAACACCTGAACATTTAATTTAATTTTCTGTGATGCTTTCTTGGATTTACTTTGTATATTAAGTAGGGGCGGATCTACAAAATTTTGGATGGGGTGGCCATGCTGGGGCACAGACGCAGAGAGGGGTGGCATATTTGAAATACATGCAAAAAATAAATTAAACCCCTAGTTTTATTAAATAATAAATCATACTTTAAAGAGTCAAATAGTTTATTTTGTGTAAAACTGAGACTCATGCTGTGCTTTCTTTCAACACTGGCTGCACTCCTTATTTACTCCCAGCCAGGGACATCACTATTGTACAGTGGTTCCCTGCCACTGAGGCGAGTCATGCCAAGTCCTCCACAACAACACAGTCATGAAATGAATGCAAATGCCATGCTCCACGCACATATAAAATAAAACTAATTTGATCAATATCAATTATATAGCACCAGGAAAATGGTAATTGTGTCTAAAGCAACATTTTGTCATAATTTTTCAGTTTTCATTCATTAATACTGATAAACATCGCTGTTGGACTCTGGCAGGGGTGGTACCAGGGGGTGGCCATTCAGATTTTGGGGTGGCTTTTTTTTTTTTTTTTTACCATTTACTTGATTTATTTTAAGGTGCCTTTCCATCACCTGGTACGGCTCAACTTGACTCAATTCAACTCTACTCACAGTTGACGCAGGGTGCTTGGTTTACCACCATAGATGGCGGTGCCTCTGCTTGCTTGGAAACTCAATGGAGGTGATACCAAAAATAGTACCAGGTACCATCCCCAACATTTGGCTGATGGAAACACAAATAAGGCAAGTTGAGTTGAGCCGGTACCAGGTGGTGGAAAAGGGGCTTTAATGACTCTGTTGACAGGCCGGCTGTGCCAGGGAGGAGTGCTCATTAGCTATTAAATAACATCTATGTGACAACTTGTTACACCAGTTTGCAGCTTTCTTCCTGTTATAACACTCAGTCTCAGTCTCAGTTTTTGCCCTGTCTCCACCCCTTTGTTGTCCCTGTGATGTCAGACTGCCTGTCTTTGTCCTACTTTACTCCTCTCACCACCTGCTCTGCCCAGCTCCACCTCACTCTGCTCACAGCTCACCTGTATTACATCAGAGCTATCAACCACTCAGCTCTCTGCTCATCTGGCTTTCCAGAGTTTGTTTTCTCTGTTGATTCCAGTTTTCTCCTATGGACTTTGTGACCCAGTGTTTACCCTGCTAAAGGCGTTAGATCACATTACTTCTCTCTACACCTCTTGTATCCCATATCAGTGTCATAAGA